CAAGGTCTATGGAAAAATGAATTAATTCCTAGCAGGTATCTTTACTCATGAGCATTGCTTCATTTACCTTAGTGACTGCTGGGATTTCTTACCTCATTCTGAACATCCATTCCAAGTGGATAATTGCCATCCAACTGTGCTATAAAAATAGTATTGAAGTGTGGTGTAGACTCTCCCAACTTCCCTATTTCATCTTAGGTAACCTTCATCACTTTCTCCCTTCTCAACCTATTTCAGAATTATACCTATTCAACTATTTAAGAAAAAGATCACCTGTCTATATGCCTATTTCAATTCCACCACCTTGGAGACCTACTTAATTTAATTTTTCAGTTTTGTATCTTAGATATCCCCTTCTCCATTGTTTTTTTCCCCCCACCATAGCTTGCAGGCATTCTTAAGTTTCACCCCATATTAAAAACAACTAAATAAATAAATAAATAAATAATAAATAAATGAATCAAAAAATCTTACCCTGTTCCTATCTCCACAATCTTTCCAATATCATCTTCTCTCTCTGTTCTCTTAGACTGCAAATTTAATGAAAGAATAATTGCCTCTCCAATTTTCTTACCAATGCAGTAAACCTTCTCATCCCACTAGTCTATTGACATTCTCCAGATACAGTACCCAGTGATGTAATTTTTAATAGAGGCTATTTGTACCTATCGCACTTTGACATCTGTGGTTGTTCATATCAAGAAACTTTTTTTTTTAGATTTTTTATTTATTTATTTTTAAATATATTTTATTGATTTTTCACAGAGAGGAAGAGAGAGGGATAGAGAGTCAGAAACATTGATAAGAGCCAAAACCGGTTTGGCTCAGTTGTAGAGCGTCGGTCTGTGAACTGAAAGGTCCCAAGTTCGATTCCGGTAAAGGGCATGTACATTGGTTGAGGGCATAATCCCAGTAGGGGGTGTGCAAGAGGCAGCTGGTCGATGTTTCTCTCTCATCGACATTTCTAGCTCTCTATCTCTCTCCTTTCCTCTCTGTAAAAAATCAATAAAATATAAATAAAAAAAGAAGAAAAAAAAGAAACATCGATGAGAGAGAAACATCTATCAGCTGCCTCTTGCACACCCCCCACTGGGGATGTGCAGTGGGGGATGTGCCCTCAACCAAGGTACATGCCCTTGACCAGAATTGAACCTGGGACCTTTCAGTCCACAGGTCAATGCTCTATCCATTGAGCCAAACTGGTTTAGTGCTCTCCATGCAAATCATTGCGGGCTCCACCCGACCTCCTGTGAAGTCTGATGCCCCAGGCTAGTTTGGCCAGGCCCACTTAGAGTTTTTAAATGTTTTATTGATTTTTTTTTAATAGAGAGGAATGGAGAGTTAGAAACATCAATGAGAGAGAAACATAAATCTGCTGTCTTCTGCACATACTGGAGATGTGCCTGCAACAAGGGTACATGCCCTTGACCGGAATCGAACCTGGGACCCTTCAGTCTGCAGGCTGATGCTCTAACCACTGAGCCAAACCTGTTAGAGCTCAAGAAACTTTCTTGATGTCTATAGTGAAGGTCTTTTCTGAGTCACCTATTTTTCACTTTCTTAGTTTGTTCATTTTTAACTATTTGCTCTATAATCATTAGTATTCTCCAGCATTCAATTCGTTGATAACTGCTCTGTTGCTTTGAAAGGAAAATCTGAGCAGTCATGTTTTTACTCATGATTTCAATTATTAGCTATATTCTTGGTCTCTGAAGCTTTCACATGTATAGAAAATGTTCAATAAATGGCAGCTAGAGTTGACTAACTTTGGTTCTTCCTGCCAAATTAAGGAACTCTTCCATCTCACGTGCAACTAACTTAGTTGAAATTTTGCATAGAAATATTTAGCTTGATGATTAAATAAACAGGTCTTTGGAAGTAAGAAGTAAAGAATTCTCTTGAAGTATGAAAAAAGAATGAATCCTCTCTGATACCAATTTTTTGGGTGTTCCTTTCTTGGGATTCATATTTTAACTTTTTTATATTCATAAGGAATGTAAAGAGGCATATTTGGGTTAATCCGTAGGCTACCTAATGAAGATATTGTCCTTGCTTTTCTACCTTTTCTCCTAATGAGGAGACCAATTAAATCAGGGAATAATGACAACATTTAGTAATAAGGGTAGTGACAGCACTTGAGAAGAATTCAAGAGAGCAATAAAGAGAGGATGAATATAGTTGCATAGTGGTACAGAAAGGGAACAGGATTGAAAATCTTAACTGTGCTTTAGCAGCAAGAGCCAAAGCTAGTCACCTTTAGCTACCATTTATTGAACATTTGCTAAGTATGTGAAAGACATTGAGATAAGAACATTGTGTTCCTCAACTCATTAAACTTTAACAAAATCTCTAGGAGGTATATGCTATCAATTCCCATCTTACAGATGAAGAAGCTGAGGTGCAGAAGTTAAATAATTTGCCTAAGGTTATATCTCTACAAGGGACTAAGGCTTGAGCCAATGTCTGACTCCAAAATACTTCTTCTGACCTATACACCCGGAGAAGGGTCAGGCCACTAGGCTAGGGGAGAAAAGACAACATATAGGCAATCAGTAATGCTAAAATGAATTAGTGAATATATGCAATTGGTCAATATCCTTAGGGAAATCTAATCTAATAAAAGGGTAATATGCAAATTAACCATCACTCCATCACAAAGATGGTGGCACCTATAGCCACAAGATGGCTGCTCCCAGTCCCCTCAACCTCAATGGAGTCCCCCACTCCTGTGGGGGCTGCCAATGAGAGCAGGCAACATGATCATACTGGTGGGATGCTTGCTTCATCGCCATGGCAACAGAGAGCCGCTGGGCAGTGGCATGGAGTAGCCTTGGCTGGATGGACACTTGCTTGATCGCTGCAGCAAAGCCCTAGTCACAAAGGAGCACAGGCGGGGAGAGGAGGGGGGAGGAAGGGGCAGGTGCCTCCATGGAAGCAGCATGGCTCCCTCCCATGGAATCTGCACGAGTCCTTCCGGGCTCCTGCTAAAGTCACAGGGTTTCTGTAGAAGGAGTGTGGCTCCTTGTGGAAACTGCAAGTGGCCTACTTCATGCTATGTAACACAGTGGGCTACTAGTAAAATATAATTTTTCAGCCCACTCTTCCACCATGCAGAAATTCATTGCAGAACAAAATTTATTTCTCTTTCCATGAACAGGAGTAATTTGCATTATTATCCAAGTTCTACAACCTAAAAATACAGTGAAAGGCACAGGCCCCTACAAAATCAGATATTCCCAAAGGATTTGTCAGACAATGGCCAGATCCTCCCTGAAAAGACAGTAACTAATCCATTTGTCCATTTCAAAATTGTGCACCATATTTTCTGATACTTTCCTTCTTTTATAATTCCAACATCAGAACCACTTACTTCTCTTCTTATTGCGCACTATAGCCACCCCCTCAATCCTTCTATCTCAGGGGAAATAATTCAGACCCCCAAGATGTTGAAAAACGCAATATGAAGTCCAGGTTTTGCCTGGGGCTACTTAATATAGGGATGGCTAGAAGTATAGAGAACTGGAAAGAAGGGAACTTGTGAACCACAAGCTTGGTTAAGGCTGCAAATTCCCATAAACTTTACAATTTGCACCTTCCCGTTGGAGAAGGTTTAGATCATTGCATAAAAATGCTGTTTTGCCCAGTTTTTAGAGTATTACCTGCATATGTATAGCACAGCATTGTTGAGAGGGCATTTGTCCATGTATTTGCTCCTTTGATACTTACCACAACTCTGTGAAGCTGTCCGGTATTCATTGCTGATCCTCTTATTTGCAAAGAGTAAACCAAGACATAGAAAAGTTATGTGATTCGCTTAAGGTTACATACTGACAAGGGACAAGTAGCATTTATATAATACTTGGGCTTTCTCAACATTGTTCAGTTCATATTGATATTTCATTATGCATCCTAGCATTCATTTCAATGGGCATTTATTGAATACTATGGTCTTAGAATAATAAGGTGTTATGCCCCTGAGTTTTATTCCCAATTTATATATAAAAAAGAAATTATAAGGATGACCTATTAAAATTGTATTTATCTTTCTTAACGCTTTGGTGTGTTTTCAGGGAAAATCCAACTAACTACTTAGATAGAAGTGTTAATAAATGGCTGAAAAATATGGAAGAGAACTACAATTTCTCCACAATATTGCACATTTTAGGTGAAAGTTGAATGATTGCAATTACTTTTCCATCCACTATTTTGTAAGACAACTGGTAGTTTATCCTATTGAGAAGTGTTTAATAGAATATATCTACTTAATAGCAATATCTGTTCTTGATTTCAACTGTTTCCCAGCTTTATTTTGATTGGCTTATGTTGTTTAGGAGGAAAAAAATACCTGTAATATATATTTGAAAAATATATATATACTTTCCATGAAATATGGGAGTGACAAAATGCTTTGGAATTGTGTATAATTCTTTATAGTATTTGTATACCAAATGTCAGTTGCTGTCTGTATTTTGCAATGGGAAATAATCAGACAATATTTTCTCTCATTAGCATACTAAGGTTTTCCATCTAAGTGGAAAGATATGACGTGATTCACCCTATTTACTTTTTTAAAAAATATTTTATTGATTTTACACAGAGAAGAATTAAGAGAGATAGAGAGTTAGAAACGTCAATGAGAGAGAGTCATCGACCAGCTGCCTCTTGCACACATCCCAACTGGGGATGTGCCCGCAACCAAGGTACATGCCCTTGACTGGAATCAAACCCTGGACCTTTTAGTCCGCAGGCCGACGCTCTATCCACTGAGCCAAACCTATTACGCCCCGATTTACGTTTTATATTAAAGTCCAGATAGCTCAACACATTGCTTGGAAATGCAACCTAGAGATAGAGAGAAACTTCATATGGGGTTAGTAAGTTCTGTTTGGAGGCAGTATATAGAAGTTGAGGCTGAATATAATATTTGGTTTGATTTTCTGTTCAACATTTTTCCATGGTAAGAACAAGATTTTTCTACATACAGTAATCAGTAAGCAACAATGATGACTTCAAAGCTTCTGATGCCAAATACTATACATCTTACAACACAGATTGCTGAATTTATTCCCAATACTCTTGGTAATGTATCCTTTGTATTACTGAGAATGAATAAGGAATAGTTACAATGGTGTCTACCATCTGTGCATGTTAATAATTTGTTTCACTTTTTCATCTGATCTGCTTCTCTCTGTAACTGCACTGCTTAGTTAAGGGGACAATTAAAGTGTTGCTCCTTTACCTTAAGGATTTATAACATCTCTAAGACCTTACCCTATAGAATTCTATAGTGAAATGAAACTATTTTCTTTTTCTTTTCCAGTTAAAGATCCGCTAATATTTACTTCAATCAAATCTGTGATATATACCGATAACAATAAAACTGTTCTCATCCCATGCTTATTCACTAAATTGGCGGCAAAGAGCCTTAAAGAAATGTTTGTAAAGTGGAAATTCAGAGACAAATACATTTTGAACTATGATGGAAATAAAAATAAATCCACGGCCACCAGGGAATTTTCAAGTGCTTACATCATACCAGGTGCACTACTAAAAGGCAGTGCCTCTTTGATGATGAACAAGAACCAAGCTGTCCCAGGAAAATACACTTGTGAAGTTTCAGAATTAACTAAAGAAGGCAAAACCACCATAGACCTGAAATATGTTGGTAAGAATTTTAAAATCTCCCCTTTTATTTGTGCTGCCGTAGCCTAATCCTATTAGAAACTGGGCACAATGGGAATAGGAACTGCTTTGAATCAAAAAGTAGTTTATGACTAGCAAATGATTATGTAATGTTTAGCATCTTTAAGATCATGAGTTTTACTTGCTCTTCTATCTTTCATAGTAAAACTACTTCGCTGTGCTATTTGGGTATTGTCAGGTTCCCAAACTTTTGTTCTGAGAACTGTTCTGCTTGTATAGAGTTCCAGGTTTCATTTAATCTGCATTTCTGTTTGCTGCTATCAAAAGTACTATCTTTCATGTGATTAATTTTCCATAATCTTTTCAATGATGTATTGTAGCTTTTTTATTACCTGCACTTTGATTAGGTGCTGACAAATCCCTACCATGCTTCAGCTGGAAAAGATAGTTTAGAAGGAGAATCATGAATTCAAGAATCAGGTCATAATGATGTTTCATGGTATGGTGTTTGTTCTTTTTCTTGGTCAACATAAGGGAGAGCTAGGGATCCAATAGAATTAATTTTAAGGCAGCCTTGGTTATAGCACCATGATTGTGCCTTTTCTTCACAGACTTGGGTGGTGAGTTCATAAAGCAGTAAAGCTAGCCTAAGTAAACAATCTGCTTTCTTTTCTTGTCCTTGCCATGCCAGCTGATTACTCTAACCACAACCAGGTGCATACTGACTTTCTATTTTGAAAGCTCTATGTATTATAGAACCACTAGACACATTACTGCTCTCAGGACTAGCCAAGCCTTTGAGAATCTCTGCTTTAGATGGAATCAGATATTCAGTTGAATCAATTATTTGCCTTTTATTCTTCTATGGTTTCGTGTTATGAAATGTCTAGTACCAGATTGGGAATGGGGTATTGATTCTGATGGAATATTTTGACATTGTTTAGGATTAGGAACCAGGACATCTGATTCTGCAACTTAACTGTTTGCCTTTATTGAATTTGATAAGTTACTTCACTGGGTCCAAGTTACCTCATCTCTACATGGGGATGAAAGAGATTCCTACTTTTATGTATTCTCCAGTCTAATAAGCATCATGAGATCCCTCGTGTACCAGTCCTTTATAAACCAAAGTACTTTGCAAATGTCATTTGTCTTCCCGGAACATTTATTTTATGAAATTGAATGAGTTGTTGAAGCTGGGTTGTCATGAGAAGGGAGTCCATGTGGTGCAGAATGGGCAGGAAATGGCTTAGAGCAGAATTTAGAAGATTTTTGTGCTCAAAAATCTCTCCTTTATTAAAAATTTCATTAACTCACAATAGGGAAGGGGAAGTTTGGAGTTGAGTGTAGGTCACTGAGAGGAGAATTTTGAACTCAAGCAGTAAAGGCCAGAAGATAGGATGAAAAAGGATGGGAAAGGGATACCAATCTCTAGGATAAAAACAAAGTTTATAATTTTCTATTTGTTTTTTGTTTTGTTTTTATTTTTAATAAGGAAAATTTAAAGCATCTTCCTAAATATCCAACAAATAGAAAGTTCTTCAAGTTAGATTAGATATAAATGGGAATCTCTCGGAATAGTACAGGACCTAATTAAAAAACTTTGAGGTCTGATGCTGTTATGGACTGAATGCTGGTGTCCTTCAAAGTTCATTCGTTGAAGCTCATGTGGAGCTGGGGCCTTTGGGAGGTGATTGCTTTCTACGAAGGGGAGAGGGTGGGGGTCACTATGATGGGATTAATACCCTTCTAAGAAGAGGAAGTGATAATCCAGATCCCACTTTCCATCACTTGAAGACACAATGAGAAGTCTGCCACCTGCAAGCCAGGAAAAGGGCCTCCACCAAGAATCAAATCTGCTGGCACCTGATCTGGGTCTACCAACCTCCAGAACTGTGAGGAAATGTCACTTAAGCCAGTTCAGTTCAGCTCCCATCAGCATTTCTCACTTCTGTGTGGAACATGCATGCAGGCAAGGCTTCCTTTAAGAGGCAGGGGCCTCCAAGCTCCCACTGGCTCCTGGAGCATGTGAGCTGGTGGGTTTATGCTGCAGGCCTGGCCTTTTAGGTTTGGGGAAATGATGTGGAGGAAAGACTAGAAAGCTTTTTATTTAATGACCACCACAATCAGAATATTGAACTAACACATTAATACAAATATTTTCCTAGTGCAAACGCTTTATAGTCATCTGCTTCCTTGCCATCACTAACTAACCTGTCAAGCACAATTTGTTCTCCATACCAATACATTGGTCATTTCCAAAATGTTATATAAGAGTATGTAATCTTTTGAGAATGCATTTTTTTTTCTTCAGTCAGCACAATGCTCTTGAGATAAATGTATGCAATAGCTTCATGTAGCAATCTCTCTCTCTCTCTTTCTCTCATTCTGTGCTATGGGTATATCACACCTTGTTGAACCATCCACCTATTATAGCAGGTCTTGGTTGTTTTAAGTTGTTTTGGGCTATTTCTCAGGACATTTCTATAAACAATCATATACAAGTTTTATGTGGCCATAGTCTACTTCTCTGGATAAATGCATAAAAGTACAACAACTGGGTCTATGTATTTAGAGGCATAGTTTTTGAAGAAACTGTCAAACTATATTACAGAGTGGTTTTTCCATTGAACATTCCCATCAGCAACATATGAGTGATGTAGTTCCCTCACATCCTTGCCTGTATCTGGTGTTGTTACAGTTTTGCACCATTTTTTAAGGGAAAAGAAAGAACCTCCTCTGCCCAAAACAGTTAATTGAAGCAGGTTCTTGCAAAGTTACTTTGAAAAGTGTACCTATCATGTGAATCCTGAGGATTTAGGCAGTGGAATCCATTTTTACTGTTGTGCTTTTTTAACTAATAGAGGCATAAACGAGAACTAGAAATTGTTTAATAGAGAATTCTACCTAGTGGAATGTGGATTAATGGTGGCCAATCTTTGTTCACTTTTGGGGAGCCCAAGGACTAAATATGTGAAAATATTCTCATTGAGATACAGTTTCATATTTCTCTGGTGCCTTGTAGTCTATAGCACAATGGAAGCAGCACAGAACTTAAACTTAGAAAGCTTTTTTCTGTACTTCATCATTTTGTAATTTAAGAAAACTTAGGTAAGAAATCCAACCTTTCTGACCCTTAGTTTTTATGTGTAAAATTGGGATACTATCTTTATCACAAGATGGTGTGAGATGTAAATATATTTATCTCCTCTAACTTTAAAAAGATTATTGGGTGCTTACTATGTGATAGGCTTTGTACTAGGCCCTTTGGATTTAATGATGATTTAGACAGGATCCCTGATTTCAGTGTAGTGCTAACAGTATAAATAAGAAGAGTAAAATGACAGAACACTTATTTGAGCACAGGATAAATATTTTATACTGGGTCCCATGTCCCCAGGAACTCTGGAAGATTTATGAAGGTCTTCCCATTTAACAGCAGAGAGATTTAGGGTACTTATTCAAAGTCAGGATCATAGCTAGGATATTAACCTAGATCTGCCTTCACAACCCAGTATGCTTTTTATCCTATGATGCATAGTTTCTGTTAAAACACTTTGTACAATCAAATATGAAATGTAAACAATAGTTATAAAATCTGACATTAATGTCTATATTTTTATTATCAGTAATACAATAACAGAGAAGCTCTAAAATCTGTATATATTAAGATTTTGTATTTTTCTAAGTGAGCTACTAGTGTTTTTATTTAAGGCCAGTTCAAGTTCAGCAGAATTTCTGCTTCTATCATTGTCAACATGATATACATTATATTCACAACTAGAGGCCCAGTGCATGACATTTTTGCATGGTGGGTAGGAGAATGATCCATCAGCCTGGCTTGCACTCTCTCCAATCTGGGATCTCTCTTCAATCTGGAATCACTGGTTCCTAACTGCTCACCTGCCTGCCTGATGCCACTAACTGCTCCCCTGCTACCCTGATGGCCCAAGCTGCTCTCCCCTGCCAATATGATCCCCCTGACTGCTCTCCCCTTCTGGCCTGATCTCCATAACTGTCTATCTGCTCTCCCTCCTGGCCTGTGCCTTCCATCTGCCTATCTGCTTTCCCAACCTGGTCTGATTCCCCTACTGCATATTTGCCCGCCCTTCCTCACCCTGCCCTTGGGATACCCAGCGCAGGTGTGTTGAGAGGTCTCTGCTGTGGCCCTGCCCCCGTCCAAAGATGTAAATATATTTACCTCCTCTTAGTTTGAAAAGATTATTGAGTGCTTACTATGTGGCAGGCACTGTACTAGGCCCTATGGGTATATATGATGATGTACTGACCAATTGGGTGTTATATGATGATGTACTGGCCAATTTAAATATTCCTCTATTATTAGTATAAATGTTGACATGAAGACATTGCAAGATCCTTATATTGGTTTTCCAGTGCTGTATAACAAATACCCCAAAATGTAGCAGCTTAAAACCGCTCTCATTCATTAGTTCACAGATTTGTAGGTCACAATGCTGGTCACAGTGGGGTGGCGCTGGGTTCTATAAGAAAGGTACTGTCCAGGCTGTATTCTCATATGGGTCCTGTTCCAAGCTCACATGATTGTGGCAGAATTTAGTTCCTGGTGACTGCAGGACTGAGGTCCCTGTTTCTATGCTGGATGTCTGCTGTGGGCTTTGCTCAGACCCTACAGGTTGTCCCATTCCTTGTCATTACAGCCTCTTCTACCTTCAAGCCAGCAAAGGAACACCACCCTCTAATTAACCCCTGTGACATGTTGGATTTCTTATGCCAAGAAGAGCACAGGTCCTTTTCAGGGCTCACTTGACTAAGTCAGTCCTCTCTAAAGACAATCTCATTTCTAAAAGTCAACTGATTGAGGACCTTAATCACACCAAGAAAAATCCCTTTGCTCGTGTGACACAACAGTCCTGGGAAAGAAATCCATCTTATTCACAGTCCCACCTGTACTGCAAGGGAAAGAAATTATAAAAGGCTGATTGCAGTGATTCTGGGTTTGATTAAATAACTGAGGCTATAGCCAATTCAGTGCATCAAAAACCCATCAGAATCTTAAAACATCAAGTTAAAATTTGGCTTGAATCTGTGTAAATTGATGTTCTCTGGGTCTGTGAAGGTTTACCATGTACAGACGTACATGCCTCAGATAAGTTCCAGATAAGTTCTAGATCACCACAACAAAATGTGTAATGCAATAAAGCAAGCTATAATCTTTTTTTTTTTTTTTTTTTTTCTGGTGAAGGGTTTGTCTTTCAATTAATAAAGAAAGCAACATCAATGAAGCATAATAAGCAAAGCACAATAAAATGAGGTGTGCCTGTATATATTGAAGGAAAGGCCCACTAAATTGATTGGAAATATTTTTTCATTTTTTTTGTTATCCCATTTTATACACAGTGGTAAGAGAAGTGAAGTGGTGGGTATTTATAATACTTGAGCTTGGCAACAAAATTTAAACAATCTCTGAATAACCTTTCCTTGCCTTTTCACTGAAGGAGAGTATCTTGGCGGCACTGCAAGAGGGACCATGAGTGTTCAATAAGATTCTGTAGACAACGGGAAGCAAAGGAGGGCTCACCCTGCTTGGGGTCTTGATGATCCTTTCTGTCCTCTATGATTCAGGTCCTAGCCTGCAGTGCTACTCCTGTATCAATCCAGTTGGTTCGTGCTCTATCATCAAAAACTGTACAGTTAACTTTGATGCATGTCTCTATGTCAAAGCCAAGACACGAACATACTACCAGTGCTTGAAGTTTGAAAACTGCAACTATGACCACATCTCAAAGGACTTAAGAGAGAAGACTCTACAGTATGAAAGCTGCAAGAAGGACCTGTGTAACAAAGTTAAAAGAAGCTGCAGTGGGAAGAGCATCACAGGGACCATTGCTCTGCTGGTGACTCCGCTGCTCATAGCATTCTGGAGACTTCTTATCTAAATCAATACCAGGAGAGATTCTCCTAACTCACTGCTTCTGTATATTCCTTATTTCCTTTGCTGCCACTTTTGATTCTATTACTGGATCCTGTTGAGAAAGTCCAGAACTAGCTTGAATGAGAGAGAGAGAGAGAAAGAGAGAGAGAGAGAGAGAGAGAGAGAGAGAGAGAGAGAGAGAGAGAGAGAACCAGTCCTATTTGCAGAGAAGGCCCTTCTGAGGGAAGAAGTTTAGGAGTGAAGCACATGCCATATTAGCTAGGTTCGTTTCATGCTGCTTCCTCTGCTAGTTCAGTAATAGCTTCACTAGATTATCTGCAATTTTCAGTTATTTCCCCATTTGTTCCTTAGATGTAGTTACCTGTATGATCAGTGGTTTTTGGGCAGGAGTTGGAGCTGAGGGTTTCTTTTCCCCAATCTCTCTCACAGGGGATGCTTTCATCCCCTCCTCTTATGGCCCCTATGTTGCTGTGTAGGCATGATGAATGTTCCAGATGTGGGCTGTCAGGGGCAATGGGATTCTAAATTCAGAGTGATTGGAATGAGTGTTATATTCTCAACTAGAAGGTTTCTGCCAGGAGCCATAAGGAAAAAGTCCGGTCTCACTTCCTGGTCAGTTCCACTTCCTGGTTGAGCTAGAGGCCAAAAAGCCCGCCAAAACTGTTATCCCTCCCACATTGGAATAGTCAACCAGCTAAGAACAGGTACCCACCCCCCAGCCAATCACCTTGTGACAACCCCCCCCTTTCCTACCCCTCCCCTCCCAGCCTGAGAGCTTATAAACCATTGTTCTTGAATAAAATTTCGAGGCTTGATCAGAACCTTATCTTGCCTCCATTCTTTCGCGTTCTTTGTTTGTTTCATTCTCTTAGGTGGTTCCTGCATACCCCCGTTGTTGCTCCGTGGGCCGGGGCAGGTTTCTGTCCCTAAAAACAACTTAAGCACATCAATTAACAGTGTGTTAAAACTCTTCCCCTCTCCTTTTAATTGGAGTGATGACATATTTTCACTTTGTCAGACAGTTCAAGACTAAATATTTGCACATTCTTTGCTACAAGTGATTTACAGTATTGTGTGCTTATTTTGAATATTATCAGTGGGAATACCCTTATGTGCACGTGGATTGCAAGAATGCAATGGGAAGATTCTTCATGAACTACAACAGGTGCTCAGGGATGTTCTACCTTCTGACATCAAACCTGTTGACTCCTATATGACTTGGCACAGATCATGTAATGTTCATTTGTAAAGGCTGTTAGCATCCTCACAAATGTCAAAACTTTGAGAATCTCTACCAGTTTTATAAAGAGAGAGACCCCTTTTCAGGAGAGCAAAATTTTGCCTTTTGTGTGTGTGTGTGTGTGTGTGCATGTGCGTGCTGGTGAATAATCCTCAAATCTGGTAGACTTAATAACATTTACTTTCTTACTAGAGGCTCGGTGCATGAAAATCCATAGTTTGGCAGGGGTGGGGTGGCTCCCCCCAGCCCAGCCTGCGCCCTCTCCCAGTACAGGACCCCTTGAGGAATGTCTACTTGACACTTTAGGCCTGCTTCCCGGGAGGTTGGGCCTAAGCTGGCAGACATCCCTCTGGCAGCCCAGGAGCCCTTGGGGAATTGTCCGACTGACAGTTTAGACCTGCTCCCCAGAGTTAGCGGGCCTTAGCTGCAGATGGAGATTCGTAGTGCTGCTGAGGAGGCAGGAGAGGCTCCTACCACCACCACTGCTATGCTCCCAACCTTCGGCACAGCTTGTGGTGAGCGGAGCTCCTCTGTGGAAACACACTGACCACCAGGGGACAGCTCCTGTGTTGAGCATTTGCTCCCTGGTGGTCAGTGTGCATCATAGGGACCAGTTGTCCTACTGTTAGGGCCCATTTGCATATTACCTTTATATGATAAAGGACAACCTTTTCTGCTTTTAACAGCATGACCTGACTTGCCAATGAAAGTGAGATTTCTTGATTAACATTTTTATAAAAATGTCTTGATTCTGTAATTTGTGTGAAAAAGTGGAATGAATTATGCCTCTTTGAAAATAGAATATAATTTAAAAATTAACGGAGTTTATCTTCCTGGGAGCCACTTTACCGGACCAGGAATTGGGAGAGAATAATGGGCACAGTTGTCAGTGATAGAGTTAATGGAATGACAGCATGGAGTCCCTTGGTTTAGTTTTCTTAATCCTGAGGTGGAATACTATCTCATATTATTCTTAGTCCTTTTAATCTTTATTTATATATTTTAGTGCTATTTAAATTGAGCTCAAAGGGACCTTAGAGAACTGTCTTGCCTTTTTCTCCATTGAGGTACAAGAGTACAGTAAAAGTCATCTTACAGTACTACCATACCAAATCAATTGTTTAATGGGAATATAAGTGCTTTCTTTTAAAAAGCTTGGGTTTCTCCCCATAATCTCCTTTGGTTTTTGAACATCCCAACCAACAATCCTCCAACTCTTCTCACTTTAACAAGTTAGAGAAAGGTGAAATGTTCATGTAAATTACAGCAGAGATTGGTAGCAGTGATTTTAAACTGAGAGAATCATGGGCAACACTGTCCCCCTGTCCTCCTCCCCAACTCACATACACATACGTTTACCATGGAGGATATATTTAAAAATTTTAAAATTGGGATGGAATCTATGACTAAGGTATATGTGAAGTTTGAATAAACCGGTGATTCTGATAGGCTTCATTAAGAATCATTTAGACCAGTGTTTCCCAAACTTTTGACATATGTGTACCCCTTCTATAATTTTCATAACACTGAATACCCCTCATACTCATGAGAACATAGAATTAGGCACAGCTAAGTACGGTGCAGTGCATTCCCCACCAAACTTCAGTGCAACTCGTATCCCCACCAAACTCTTCCTGTGACCCTAGGGGTAGGAATACCACACTTTGGGAAACACTGATTTATACCATATTTTATGTTCTGTAATCCAACCCTTTTCTGTCACTGAGGATCTCTCACACTTATTTCTGCACAGAGGCTTGGAGTCATCTGGGCTATTTTGCCATGTAATTCAGGAATTGCTTCTATCACACCCCAGGTTATTGGTCATTTAAACTTTTACCTACATGATGAGACAGTTACCTCCTAAATGTCTCTTATCAGGCTGTTCCAGTTCTGTACCTAAAGACTGCAACCCTGTAAATTCTCACTTTCTAGAAGAGTTATAGTGTTTCTCTCTCAAGCTTATACTCCTTTAAGGTAAAAGCCCCTTTGCCCCACCATCAGAAACATTCCAGCTGGTTTTCCAAGAGCTGAGGTGGTCACCCAGATGGCCTCTTATTCATATGAATTAAGAGTACTTCATTTTCTATTTTTGTTAAACCTCACCAGAGGATATTTTTCCCATTGTTTTTTTTTTGTTGTTTTTTTTTTGAGAATGGAAGCTGGAAAAGTGGGAGAGAGAGATAAAGGGAGGGAAAGAGAAAGATAGAGGGAGGAAGAGAGAGAGATAATAGATCACATGTCCTGACAGGGGCCAAGGGTCAAACCTGCAATCCAGGTGCATGTCTTTGTCTGGGAACCAAACCAAGGACCCTTCCCTGCTCAAACAGATGCTCTAACCACTTAGTGGCACCTGCCAGGGCAAGATTACTCCGTTTTCTGCACAAAACTACATGAGGTACATATCCTTAACAGTTCCCAGCATAATACAGAGCATCATTCCAACTCTACTTCTGTCACTCCTAGTCACTCCTCAAATTTAGGGGGTCCTTTGATCTCAGGGACAGCTGGCAGCCTTATTTAACCAACCAGCTGCCCTGTGGTACACAGTGTCCCCAATGCTCTAAGTCTGGTGGGTGACTCATATCCATATACACAGCAGTTGGAGGAGAATCCAACAGTCACTTTGGTACCCTCAGGGTGTCTATTAAACCCTTTCTGTTTGCCTGGTTGAATGGGAACTCTAAGACAAGGTAATATTAAAACAAACAAACAAAAAAACAACTCTCTGATTTTAAAGAAATGATAATTATAAGACTCTCTTTCACGGCCCACGTAGAAAGAGTTCCATTTCAGTGTTCAGGTTCTGGAGAAGAGCCGCACACAAATGAAAAGAGACTTGAAGAAATTCAATTTGGTGATATGGGGGGCCAGGCGGTAGTCCAACTCTAGTGGGAGAACACCTCACTCCTCTGGCCCTGCCATCCCCTTTTATTGAGGCTTTGGGGAAAACATCTTAGGCAATATGAACAGAAATTTACATGTAGCCCTTAGGAAGAAAATAACAGAAACTTTCATGGGACAAGGTAGATTCTGCTTCAGCTAACAATATCTCAACTAAAGGTTAGAGCAATTAAGGTTGTTGACCTGGCTTCCTGTCAACATCTCTTTTTTAGTGAAACTGGTTTGGTTTCCAGCAGATAATGTTGAGGGAAAGGTTTACATAAGGAAACCATGAAAAGTTGCGTAGTATATAATACACTCAGAGTGGAAATGTTATTTCCTGGGTTTCATTACTATGAGGATGGAGTGCGATGCAGGAGAAGCCATGAGTAGAGGATTTGGAGAAGTGGGGTATTGTGGTGGGAAATTGCTTTCTTCTCCAGCAGGTAAGAGAAACACAACCAAAGGAGCAGATGGGCTATGCACCCATTACAGTAGCCACCAGAGGCTGACTTTGTGACAAGAGAGTTCATCATTTAGGATAAATGTTACTGGCAGTTTTATAAGCTCTTTTGCTTCAGTTTGAAAGTTGTGCCTGTGTAATTCAGTGTGACATTGAAAGAAAGTGAAAGGATTAGTCAAAAATCATATATGCATAACACAGACCACTGTGTGGTGATAGCCAGAGGTAAAAGGGGGAGGAGAGTTTAGGTGGAGGCTGTCAGAGGGAAGAGGGAAATGGGGACAGAAGGATGCAGAGTGTAGATGATATTTCATTGAGTTGCACACATAGTTTTGGGAACAATGTCACTCAGATAAATTCAAATTCTTTCTTTCTTTCTTTCTTTCTTTCTTTCTTTCTTTCTTTCTTTCTTTCTTTCTTCTTTTAAATAAGGCCTTGTTTGGAGCCATATTTTGAATCCTTTTTTTTTAAAAAAAAAAAAAAAAACCAAGAAGGACATTGGAGGGAGGATCCTGAAGACGGAGCAAGAAGGAGGTCAGGAACCTTGGAGAGGGGCGGGGACAATGAAGACCATTGAGAGAAGGAATACACTCCAAGCCTCTAATGGAGAGGGATGCTGGACCCTAAGTCTCTCACGGAGAGGGGGGCTGGATCTTAGTGCTGGGATAATGGTGAACAAGGCCAGGATTCCCCTCAAAGCTTAGCCTTCATCATCTCCTGGCTGGGAGTCTTGGCTGAGCCTCAGCGAATATGGATGAGTCCAGGAATCTGAGGGTCTCCCTTCAGTGGCCACATAGGCTGTGGTGGGAGCAGGTGTGCAGAGACCAGAGTTGCAGAGCTCGGCAATCAGCCTGGGCCCTGGGTCCTGCTTGTGACGGGCAGCAACGCAAAGTTTTGATTGTGATGGGCAGCAACGCAAAGTTTTGACTGTGACGCTGGTAGCTGCTCCAGATGCTACCCCGGAGGTGAGGAGGTCAGTGCCTGCCCTTTAGTGAGTGATGTGGCCCTTGTTGGTGCTGCTGTTGGGCTGGGGAAGCCTAGGTGAGTGGCCCTCATCCTGGCTCCTTGGAGGGAGTGTCTTCCTCCGCGCTGCTATGCAGAAGTGGGAGGAGGGGGTTGTAAGGGGGGAGGGATGCCTTGTGCCATGCTAGCCTCGCAGCTCCCTGGATAGGGTGGCTGTTGGGAACACTTGGGCCCTGTATGCCTGGTTGTGAAAGTTGAATAACCACTGGCATTTAGGCCCTTCCCTTCCCCCTTCCTGTCCCTTTTTCCCTTCCCCCTTTCCTTCCCCCTTTCCCTTACCTCTTCCCTTCCCTCCTCTCTTTTTTCTTAGTCTTCCCCTGATAACAGCAGGGGCTCATCTCCTTCCCCCACTCTCCACCTCTAGACCCAGACACCAGGAAGACTCCACACCACGCACCTCACATGGAAATTAACTAGAGAGAAAGAGCATGATCAGAGGCCAGTGGGTGGCAGTGTGAGGATTCCTTCTCTTTTGCACCCCTCTTCCCTCCTAGGCACTTAAATGCACTGGGGATGAGGGGGGTCAGTGGGAGAGCCTGGATTCTTGAGATGGAAGTGCACATTTTGATAAGTCTGCAAGATGTTTTTCTTTTTTTTGTGGGCTTTTTTTTTTTTTCTGTTTGTCCTCCCATATCAACATAGGAAGTAAAGGAGACATAACTGATACAATTAAAGTTCATTTCCAACACACCATTTAATCAGAAGAATCTTTTGCCCCCCCCCCTTTTTATAGTTTATTAAACCTTAAAATAGACCTCCTAGCAACTCTCTCAACCTCCCTGCCCCACCAACCACTTTGAGTCCAAAGAGCACATTCAAGTTTTCAAGTCCCCCCCTGTGTTTGGGGAACAGTTTAATGGCAATGGATTTCACTTGAAATATGAAGACAATTTGCAGCTAAGTGGAATTTGATGTTTTTCTATGCCAAAGGCATTTAGGCCCCAAGTTTTGGAAACTATTATTTTGAAAAAACATGTGTGCTTCATAAAAACTGAGGAAAGCATGTGATTTTTTGGTGTGGCTCTATAGGCTGTGCCTGTCACATTTCAAGACCCTTTTGTTAACTTTTTCTAAGACTCAAATTAGTTTGAGTAACAGCAATTGTTATATTTAATTCTATAATTTGAACTTAATTACATTTAAACTGATTATTAGCCTCACTGTGACATTCATAAAACCTTGTGATTTTGGCTGTTTTCAAGATGCTCTTAAGACCCTGCTTACCACTTTCCCCATTCTCCGAAAATCCTGGGATGTTAGAGCTGTTTATAATCACTATATCCATTATCTGAAGGGTCTGTCATTATCATTAATGGCTCATTGCTGTTACTATCAAAATAACTAAATAATACTGCTTTCAGAAACCTGTTTTCTGATCAAAATGCATGCTGAACCAGATTATAAAATTGTGATGTAATATCACTAAATCAGATTGTAGGCATCAAAAGCTATTCTGAAGAATAAAAATGATAAATCATGTATTATTT